TATATTATTATTATTAACAGACATTGTTAATTGTTAACATCTACAATTACCTAGCGACGTTAGGTCCAACTTTTGGCTAAAGTTCTTCGCAAGTATTACTAAAATAATACACAGGGTTGACATCCTTGCAACCATATCTATTATTATCACTTAGTGAAGATGAAATAAACATCCAAGATTAGTGGAAAATGAGTTTCAATTAATATCATCCATGAACCTAGATCTTAATAATTATAACTCCAATTTTATTATATTATAAAAGATCGAAAAATTAAGGTGGTCATGAAACGCAACAACATAATAGTGGAAACATAAAAAGTACCAAAATATTAGATGGCAATTAATGGTAATACAGGTCATAACTCATCAGGCTATTATTGTTGATTCTAACTGAATTTATTTTTGTCCAAAAGAAATAGCAATACCTATTTAGAAAAAAAAATATCATGAACATGTATTTGAAGTATATGGAAAAAACTGTGATGATAATAACAAACGACTTTTGCAACGAAAGAATGAAATTTAAAGTAGGTTTGCTCTATTTTTTTAAACTACGTGATATGCAAACGCTATCACCAACATATTTATAGACAACATTATTTCAAAAGAAGTAAATAGTCGTAACTTTAAAACACCATCTCATAAGAGGAACAAATGATAAGTACTGCTATGCATATTATTAGTTCTATTTATAGAAAAATCTCATTTCTTTCGTTTGTAAGTACATATCAAAAGAATGCATATTTGAGCCAAAAGGATGCACCACTTTTTCTTCAACATATGTAAACATCATATCCTGCAACAGTAAGGCAAATTTCATCAAATCCATATCAATATTTTCGTTATGTTCTATTTAAAAAATTGAATCTCGGTGAATTCATTTTAACCCCCAAAAATTGAGAAATGTGAAAAATTATTTCAGCACCTCCAAGTACGGATATTGAAGTAAGCAAGAAAATATTGATTTTCCAATAGTACTACAACAAATATTTCTATGACGCCAAACAATATTCGCATTCAAAATAGAGCAGAATAATGGGCATAAACTAGATTTATCATAGGAGATTACCATATTGGGAGTCTCTTATCTTCAAACTCTTTCGGTTTTTCATAAATCAAAACAAAGCAGGCAGTGCAAATAAATTGATTTTGAAATAAAGAACTGAAAATAACTAATACATCAAAAAAAGAGATGGAGAGACAGGATAGGCCGAAATAAAAGCAGTTCCAACATAAAGTAGTAGCGCAAGTTAACAACGTTGAGGAGATGAAGATGCCAACGGTTTCTTGAGATGGATTGTGCGAGTTACAAATCGTGGGAAAGAAGAGCTCGAAAGGGTTATAGGAGAAGTTTTTAAATCAATGAGAGCGTGGGTGGTTATCCTGTGAGTTTTTCGAATTTTTAGAACGGATAAATCGTGCTTGACAGTTTTCAATTTCTAGTATACAATGTTCAATTTACCGAAAATAACCCTAGGGTTACAAATATTTCACAAAAATAAGATTAGGATTTCGGGGCAAAACCTTTCTTTTATATATAAAGATATCCCTCTGTATCTATCCAAACCATCCAACCAAAAGAGCTCTAAAAGTATAGTCAACTACAACAATGTTAATTGTTTTAGCTTTTTATTTTATTTTTTGTCTTTGTTCACGGGTCAGTATACTAATATTACTTTATTACACATTATTTAAAGTGTAATAAAGTGATTTTGTTGTGTTAATATTATTATACTAGATAGAAATATAGCAATATTACTGTGTTAAACAATAATGTAATTAAGTTTAATAACTACCACAATAATATTACTCCTTTTATAAGTGCCAAAAATGCTTTGAAAAACAAATGAAATAAGTCAAAGTCGCCGGAGACCAGCGTTAATAGCCGTTGAAAAAAAAGGCATAAAGAAAAAAAAGTCACAAATATTAAAATAAAGTCAACGCCAACTAGCGGACAACGGTGGCTAATAGTCGGTCAACGGCGGCGGCGGACAAAATTAGAGTCAAAATTGGGCCAGGGGTCAAAATGAATAATTGGTGAAATTAGGGTCAAATTATGGTTAAATAAATGAAATTAGAGGATATTAAAATGTGAGGCGGTATTAAAGTTGTGTACACACTTCTAGACTTTTTCTAGACTTTTTTGTAAAAGAGATTTAGAGGTTGACCTATATTGGAATAAGTCACAAGAGCTTATTTGTAATGGCCTTTTTTTTATAACCAAAAAATAAAAAAAATCCAAAGTTGAAATTGGAAAATCTAAAAATTGTCACGTGCATGTTTGGAAAATTTGTTTGAACTATGACCAGATAATTCAGACCCGTAAATCAAACCGGGTGGTTCATAACCCGACCCGATCATTTCATACACGAAAAAGGAACAACTGAGCACCCACGCGTCAGATGAATTCGCCTGCGTGGATAGTACGTAGGTCATTAATAATGTCTGATCCTTGGCCTTACACATTATTATTTAACTTGAAAATTTCTCTCATTGTTCTCATTATTACATTCCAAAAGCATAAGAAAGAGCGGTTTCACTTTTGCATGCGAAGGCTAAATTAGACGGTAAGCTTTATTTTTAATGTTTTTTACATCTCATTTATCGTTTCTTGTTGACTGTTTTTTCTTTGATTTGTCTTGGGTCATTATTCATGTGTTCAAGTTGTACATTTGATTTTTTTAAGGAAGATGTTTATTTTTGTTTCTGGTTTGTAAGAAAATCACCCAAGTCTTTCCCCCTTTTTCAAGGGTTGTTGAGGTTTCTCTTTGATTTTTAGACTTTTATTTTTCCTTTTCAATTTTCAAGAAATTATTACATTTTTCTTTAGGTGTTTTTCATGAGAGTTTAAGGTAAATTTGATGTTTAATTGAGGTCCAAGACGACCGATATGGTACTGCCCAACCAACGTTGGATTTCCGGGATGATAAATGTTCGATTGAAACATATATAGAGATACACTATACATAGTATATATGATGGAACTAGATTTGTTTTTTTTTTTTTTTTTTTACTTTTACAATGTAGGGGAATTTAAATTTGGAATACATTATTTATATGTGATCATGGTTTGTTGGAATTCGTTATAGTTGCCGGAATGAAAATTTCTGATCTTAAATGTTTTAGATCGGAAATGTGTGTGAGTGTGTGTGTTTTTTGTGGTGGCGGAAATGGCAAATAGTTGTGCGGCGGATACTTTTATGTTTCGAAGCGGCGGATACTTTTAATTAGTTTTCGAAGCGGCGAGTTTTCGAGAATGAAAACCTACTAGGGTTTCTACTTTGCAAATTAGACCCATAAATTTAGGATTTCTTTTTAGAATAAAGAGATATTTTCGGAATTTGTATTTTTGCCCCTAAATTTATATTTTTTGCATTTTCAGACCATTTTTCCCCTTTTTAAAGAGATTGTTGGAATACGATTTTTTGGAGTTGTAATACTTGGTTTTTTTTAATTGTCTCTTTAGCCATAAAATATTTTCCCATATTACGTGTCACCTTGATATTTTAAGGCTGAGTTATTTTCATTTTACCTATTTTGTCCTTTATCACTTATGAGGATTAATGTGAAAAAAAAAAGATAATTTCTTAATACGCGTAAATGGCAATTTTGGGATTTTCTATTAGAATGAATGTCTTTTATTATAATTATTGCATATATCTTAAACGACACTTAATGAAGAACAAAAGGCCCGTATAATATTTTGTATATTTTTCTACTCTAATTTCAAAATTAGTTACTTACTGTAAAAACTATAATGCTTAGTATTTTTTGTTATAAATCCGTTCTCTTTTCGTCCTATATGATAGCTTCCATTTTTTTTTCTTTTTTTGTATAGAAAGATGATTATATGAATTAGGAAAATAAAGTTAGGAGAATTTTTTTACAGATAAAGTAAATAGCATATCTATCTACTCGGTAAGGAATAAGGATGTTGCAATAATACTCTTTTGCCACTGAAATTAGTTATGTAGTTAAGGCCTCGTTTGGTTTGGGTATTAGGCTATTAGCCCCGATTAACTAAGTATTAACTAAATAACTGGACATTCTTCGATATATGGTGAACCCAATAATTTTCCGAGTAGCTAGACTCATAAATATTATTTTATCATAGCTTATCGTGTCCTCATGGTTAAATAATACAATTGGGTTTTTATTTGTGTACTTAACTTTATCTTAAGTAATCTTAATATGTTGTCTTGAAATTCGAATATATTTATGTAATGATTCTAACATAGTGTTCTTGTATTATGTTATCAGGCACATCTGAGCTACATACACAAAAAAATCCAATTTCACTGTTCAAAATGAAGAGGAAAGATTTATTCCCCGACACAAGAACAACTTATAAGCTCAAGACATAGTTCACTCAAGAAAATCAATCATCACAAAACAACATCGGGTTCGAATCATCTTCCATCTCAAACCGACCTGATAATAATAATAATAATAATCATCAACAAAATTCCACCACAGAAGTTGATCCATCGATAAAGAAAACCAAAGAGGATATTGCAAGATTCTTCTTCGAAAACGGGTTCGATTTCCATTCAGTAAGTTCCCCAAGTTTCCATAACATGATGGGTCCTAGAAAGTGCCACATCCCCACACTCGATGAGCTAAAAGGGCCGTTATTTCAAGATGCGTTAAAAGAAGTGACTAAATATATCGACGAGGCTAGAAATTCGTGGGAGCACACAGGATGCACTAGCTTGCTCGATGAATGGAAGGGTGAAACGGGAAGGGATTTCGTCAATGTTTTAGTTGACTCACCGAGAGAAACCGTTTATCTCAGTACGTACGATATTTCCGATTATATTGGGAAAATTGATGAAATGAAAATGCTATTCGACAAAGTGTTGAGTGAAGTTGGGATCGAGAATGTGGTTCAAGTTATTACATCCTCGAACTCTATTTTTACCAAGGAAGTGGCGAATGAATTGTCGAAGAAATACCGATAAATATTTTGGTCGGTGAGCGAGTCTTTCTGCATGCAACTCATGCTGGAGAAATTGTTGGAAATCGACGTCATCAAAGAAATCCTGGAGAAGGCGAAAATATTTACGAGGTTTATTTACGGAAACCCTAACGCGCTCAAGTATCTCAAGGAGAAAACGGACGGTCGTGGTTTATTTCAGCAGTGTTCGAAGATCAAGTCAACGCAGCCTTTCTTAACCCTCGAGAATATCGTCTTGGAGAAAAAAATATTGACCAAAATGTTTCGCTCTCCCATTTTCTTGGCAGACGAGGGTTGGGAAGAAGTATTTGATTTGGTGAGTGATGAATCTTTTTGGAAGGGGGCATCGGATGTACTCAAAGTAGCTATACCTCTTGTGCGCGTAATACAATGGATGACGGGGAATTATAATAAGGAGCAAATGGGATATATATACGAAACGATGGATCAAGCGAAGGAGACTATTAAACAAGGGTTCAAAAAGAATAAACCACAATACACAAGGTTTTGGAAAGTGATAGACGAGATTTGGAACGGTGTACTCTACACCCCGATTCACGCGGCGGGTTACTATTTGAACCCGAATATTTTCTACACGGGTGATATGTTTATCGACCCTGAAGTTGCAACAGGTTTGCTGTGTTGTGTTGTACGGACTACTCGGGATCCGCGGGTCCAGGATCGGGTCACTATGCATATCGAGACGTACCAGAATGCTAAGGGTGCGTTTGGCTTGGGATGGCCGGAGGACCAGAGATCGAATACTTCTCCAGGTTCGATTAATTTTTCTTTTAACTATATATTACAATTTTTTAACTAAAATGTCATTTTGCTTTTATTTATACCGTTTTTACTTCAAATTTTCATTCATGTATGCATATCTCTCTCGACATGCACCTAACACGTACCCGACATGCACCCGACATTCACTCGACATTCACTTGACATGCAACCCAACATGCACTCGACATTCACTCAACATGCACGCGACATTCACTCGACATGCACTTGACATACACTCGACACGCAATCTCAATCTAATTGGTTTAAGTTGAATTAGAAAGCAAACTTAACGGACTACAATTTTTTTGTTTTGAGTTTTGCGTAATTGAGACAGAAAAAGGGTCAAAGTCACATTTGAAATAAAAAACGGTATCATAAAATATAAACGACATTGAGCGCGGTGATTCTATTTATTTATCATTGTTAATTTTTAAATTGCAGCAAAATGGTGGTTGAAATATGGGGGTGAATGTCGAGAGCTACAAAAGCTGGCGCTTCGAATACTGAGCCAAACATGTTAGGGTGCATCGAAATTTCAGCTAAAGAAAGTTTCGGTGGAGAAACTTCTTGATACGATAATAAGTCGAAGAGAAAAGAAGAGGTTAGCTCATGCTGTTTTTGTTGAATATAATATGCAACTGCAGAATTTTGAATCTGGTAAGGTGGGGTATATGGGACCCGATGAAATCGAACCGTTGGATGATTGGGTAGTTCATAAAGGACCAAATGATGAGGCCCTAAACTCGGGAGGGCCGTCGAATTTTCATCGAAAAGTGGAGCGTGTATGAGCTAATATAATGATTTTTGTTGTCCAAGAACTTCGACGCATTTGCCTCAACGTTTTTTGTTTATATGAAAGAAATATAACATGTGATTCGACTATGGAAACACGTTAGGCATTGCTTTCAATAGGCCCAACTCCACGATATGCCGATATCACTTCTGGTTCTGCTCCGGATGGTAATATATCTCGTAAACATCTCAAAGTCCATGCATAAGTGTCCTCATCTTCACTTGACATAAAATCAACAACAATAGTGAAGTTTATTCCCACCGGAGTAACCTCAATAATTTCCAAAAGAGGCATTTCATATCTACATTAAGGTAATTATAATTTTATCAACTCGTAAATATAATATAATAAATCAAAATTTACATTTAAATAAATATTACTTGTTAGTCTTGTAAGTGCAATCCATCAGTATAACGTGTGGAAATAATTGCAAAAGTTGGATTGAATGGGGGTGCGCGAACATAACGTTTGCACATTATCGCCAACTGAGTTTGTTTGATGCCATTTGCTATATCCACTTTCACTAAGTTTGTGCCACAGATGTTGCACAACTTTTTTTCCTTTCATTTCCCCTCGTCTAATTTTTGCAGATTCATTGTACACATCCCTCAAGGCCGCAAACGTATTCGGATTAGTCTGTCTCAAGTGATGCAAAATTTCATTCGCCTTAACATGACTGTTTTTCAATAACTTTGTCACTTCTTGTAGCTCTTGAGTCAAGCGACTTAACGAACGTAGTCCTAGTGGATATTTATGAGGATTATGATTATGATTTCCATCTTTGATGGTAAGACGCCAAAATCCATCACGGCCCTCTTTACCCCATAGCGCAAAAGGACAAATGTACTTCATTGAACAAGACTTTCGGCTTGTTACGACACCGACATTTTGTCCTCGTCCTTTATAGGCCCTTTTACATGACATATATTGCATGCGTTCGTGGAAAGACTGACGTCTAATCTCATGACCATGACTAACGGCCATGTTCATTGTCCACTCAACCAATGCATCTTTAATCTCAAATGCAATAGATATTATGAAAAATTAACTGAAATCATGTAATTCGAATGTTTCCGTATCTTCATCAACATTTATGTATACTTCTTTTTTTCAAATAAATATAGTAAGCAAAATTTATATTATAAAACAAAAACAAAAATAGAGCTCGCGTGATTTTAAGAGAGCACCGACTCAGGTCTCGTGTATATTCACACGACAACTGAGAAGGTGCTTGCGTAATTTAACACGAACAAAACAAAATTAATTCATCAGGTACCAGCTTCCCCCCCCCCCCCCCCCCTCTAATGCACATTTCAAACAACTCAATGTCCATGCATATGTGTCTGCATCTTCATGTGACATGAAAGCAACAACAATTGTAAAATTGTAACCAACAAGGGTGATCCCAACTATTTCCAGAAGTGGCATCTCATACCTACATAAAAACATAAATCTCAAATGCAATCAATGTACAATAACCTAATACTAAATACTAATTAACAACAAACCTATTGGTTTTATAACTGCAGTCCATCAATATAACGTGAGAGAATAATCGCAAAAGTTTCGGTCAAATAGGAGCGGCAAACATCTAATCAGTAAGTGTATCACCAGCTTTATTACCTCGATACCAATATTCATATCCAGATTCTTGAAGGTTCGACATCACGTGTTGTATCACAGTCTTCCCCGCCATATTCTCTTTCTTCATCTTCTCAAGTTGGTTGTAGACATGTTTCACGCTCGTCGATGTCTGTGGATTATACTTCCTCAATCGATCCATAATTAATATCGGCTTCACGTGGCTCCTTCTAAGTAACTTCACTACCTCGTATTCTTCTGGTGTCAAACGACTTTTTGGTCCTTGTCCGGTAAGATACGGTAGCGTCGTATGAGTGTGGATGCCATTTTTTTATCCATTCGCCATAGTCCATCGTATAGATTTCTGCTACAGTATGTACGAAATGGACATCCACATTTCTTTGTTCCCACATTTCGTTGCTTCACACATTCGGTTCGTTTTTCACGTCCCTTCCCAGACACATGACATCTAATTACTACATAAACGTTTTTCTGGCTTGAAGTTACTATCAATCGATGATCGTGAGTAGCAGTTTTTTTTTGCCCATACCACTAATTATTTCCATGGTTCAAACTCAACATCCACATTGAAATATTGACTGTGATCTTCAGAGGTTGTTGGTGTGTTTTGAGGAACATCATAACACATGTTGGGATCTTCGTACTCGTCATATTCAGTAGCAAACTCATCGTTAAAATCATCGTCAAAATCACCTTCACTAGCCTACCAAGGTATAACAAATATTAGTTAGTATATTAATAACACTATGAATAAAATAAAATAAAATAAAATAAAAATTGGGGTTCCCGTGCCCTAGAGGACGATTGTTCGTGTTTCCCGTCCTCTAGGGCACGGGAAACACAACTTTTCGTCCCCTAGGGCACGGGAATCCGAAGTTCCCGGTTTTTACAAGACGATTGCATCTAATTTTCCTTTTTTTTTAACCCGTGTTGTGTAGCACGGGAAACCCCAAAATTTTAGGTTCTCGTGCTGCACAACACGATATTACCGCTGCAAAAAAAAAATCACTAATTTCTTTGATTTTACCTCGTAGAAGTCATCCGAATCGGCAATTATCTTATTTGTTGTTGTCGGACAGTTTATTTATCAAAAAAACTTCAAATTCTTTTTTTTTCGACTTTTTTAAGTTGAGAGCGTTTTGAGTTTCTTAGAAAGTTGGAAAAAGGTGAAATGAAAGTACCGCTACAAATAAGCCAATTTCAGTAAAAGTCCCGCTACAATTAGCATTTCAGTTCAACAAATTGCAATAAATAAAACCACATATAGTAAAAAAACAATATGCAACACAGAGTTTCTAATATAAGAAAAATGCAACAGATAGTTCTGCGACCAATTATTATTTTTATTTCTTTGTATGGTTTTTAGTTTATTTGGCAGGTATTCATATTTTTCGTATAAAATTAACATACATAAAATTATGGAATTACAAAAATATATCATAAAATTATATTATGTTTTTTCGAAAAATAATCAAAATATTCGTAACCAAAATCGGATCGGAAATTGAAATTTCCGATAATTTTATATACAATTCCAATTCTGTGCCAAAAGAGAATTGAAAAATCGGAAATCTGAATGAAAAATACGGTTTTGAATTTGGATTTTTCGGATCAGAATCGCCGGGATTGCGAAATCCCATTCCGATTTTTACCCCTAACCACATTGTAGTTTTTACTTTATTTTTCCTTTATTTTTTTTTTATGACACATATGTATGATAATATTCTTTTGGTCGTCATATGTCTGACAATTTTAGAAGTTATTAAAATATTTTATTGAAATGATGTTTAATGATGTTAATCATACATATATTAAGATTGCCCATACTTCGGGGTGAAAATCGGATGGAATAGATCGGAAATGGTTTTTTCGGAAAATTTGCAAATTTATTTCGAAGTGATAAATAGGTTCCAATATCCGTTTCAAAAAAATGGAATGTAAATATTCATTCCGATTTAGGAACGCCTCGGAATTGGTGGAATATGTTAGATTTCGGAAATTACATTAGTTTATAATGTCTTGTTCCAAATGATGATATAACGGAAATTTTCACAATATTTTTCTATTCTTTTTGAAATTTTGCAGGAAAATGCAAGAAAATCTAAAAGGAAATTCGTAAAAACACAATAAATAAAATCACATGTAGGAACAACAAATTGAAACATATATTTTCATATAAGGAAAAATGTAACATAAAGTTTTTTATGTTAATTAATATTTTCTATGGTTTTAATTTACTTGACCATTCGTTATTTACAATTTTCATATAAAATATAACATAAGTTACATTACGGAATTACAAAATATATTATAAAATTATATTATATATTTCAAAAAACCATAGAAATATTCGGAACTAAAATCGGATCGGACATCGGATTTCCGGTAATTTTATATACCATTCCAATTCCGTTCCAAATAAATTCAGAAGAATCGGAAGCCAGAACTTCGGAAATCGGAATGAAAAATACGGTTCCAATATTTTAGGATCAAAATTGGCGGAATTCGGGAAATTCCATTCCAAATAAATTCAGAAGAATCGGAAGCCAGAACTTCGGAAATCGGAATGAAAAATACGGTTCCAATATTTTAGAATCAAAATTGGCGGAATTCGGAAAATTCCATTCCAATTTCCACCCCTACCCATACTTGAGTATCATCAAATCAAGTAATTAACTGCTGAATCTTTTAGTGTATTAAATATTACAATAATTAACAAGGATCACCCAATTAATTTTTTAAACTTAATATTATTCATATATTTAAACTTTTATTTTATAATTAATTTTATTTTTATTTTGAAATATATATTAATGTGAATTTTAGTAGAACTTTATACATAATATACAAAATAATATATTTTGAGTTAATTAAGGATCATTTAATAATATATTAACGTGGATTATTTTATATAAAATTAATCATATATAATTTTAATTATTTATAAAACAATTAATAATGAACAATTTTAGTTAATTAAATCTTAAATAATGTAAATCGTTGACTAAAATATAAAGAATCATCGGTACTAACTAGTTAAGTTAAAAATATATTTATTCGCGAATATGTTTTCCATGGGGCTCTTGGAATTTCATTCCGGTACAATGTGATTTATGTTTTTCTTTACTATTTAATGCTAAAGTATAGAAGGAAAATAGACAATAAATCACTAAAAGATAAAGATTTTCAGCTGGTTGATATAAACTCGATTCATAAAATATTTATAAAAAAAAAAAAAAAAACAAAGTTGATATTGGTGAATGCTTTACAGAACTTAAGGATATAGATATGTATATGAAGTATAAACAGACATATAAGTCTCGAGTATTTCAAAGCCAATTAGCAGATTGATCATGACTCATGACCATTCCATCTCAACTTTCTCCTTCCCCTAGGCCTTAAACAGAAAATTTGGGGAAAACGCAAAATAGAAATGGAAACTAATAATCGTGGTGCGAATGTAGGTGAATTTGGAAATACCCAATTATACAACATTAATGTTTCGCCCGAAAAGATTCATTTACTGCCTTCGAGTCCCAAGCTCTTCTGGATATCTTTGGTGAGGCTGAATTGCTGGGTATTATGCCATGGGAATAGTGTACGTGTAACCGGAAGCTTCCTCCGAAGATCCTAAAACGTGCCACAGAAAAATGCAAGTTTATTAGTAGTTGATTGTAAATCCGCAAAGACTAAGATGCATCGGTTTTAATTACATGGAAATTAATATATATATATATATATATATATATATATATATATATATATATATATATATATATATATATATATATATATATATATATATATATATATATATATATATATATATATATATATATATATATATATATATATATATATATATATATATATATATATATATATATATATATATATATATATATATATATATATATATATATATATACATATATATATATATATATTTATATATATATATATATATATATATATA